GGCAAAACCAAAACACAACCAAAAAGGTATTTTTTTCCAACTAGAAAATGAGTTGGGTTTTTAACACAGCAATTGGCGTATCTGGGGAGGGATTGTGATTTCAAGCGATTGGTGAAAACCTGCAGCACCATCAATGAAAGCTGAGACCCATCTTCTAAGAGCCACTGGGGACTGAAGAGCTTTTCCTTCCTCTCTTGCTCCTCCTCTTCCTCCCCAGTTTTCCCATCACCCTCCTCCCCAGCGCTGGTCCTATTCCCTTTGGCTTTTGGCAGTATTTTCTTCCTCCTGGCAACGGCTTGGCTCAGACAGGAGAAGACAGCCCCTTGCCTCCACTAGAGAGCTGCACATCACTGATGGAGTGCCCCCCAAGAGCAGTGTCACCCTAAAAAGTGGCCCTGTGCAGTGCCTGTCCGGGCATCACGGGCCGTTTCGGGATGCCACAGCCCCATGCCAACAGGATTCTGCTCCTGTCCTTGGGACAGCTTTTTGGCTCCAGGCTCCCTCCCCATGGAGGGACATGGGCCAGGCAGGGCGATGGGGAGCATGGTGGGAAGCAGGTCCCATCTTGTCCCCATCACCCCGCGACAGGGCTCAGTACCCCAACGTAAAGGAGCTGTTGGAGGTTTCGGTGTAGAAACAGCTGCTGTGGGATGTGCTGGTGAGGCTGTAGGCGAAATAGGCCACGGCCGAGCCCAGCGTCAAGCCTGTCATGTAGGACACGGTCATGGTGTTCCCTGTGGGAAGGGACACGGGGTGTCAGGTCGCTCTGGATACCCCACATGGGATTCCCGGGAGGGCTCGGTCTTACCTGCCAGCTCCCGCTGCTCCGGGCTCACTTTGCCAGCAGCCAGGATCATGGGAACGCTGCCGAAGTAGCCATTGGTGATGCCCATGAGGAGGGAGAAGATGCAGGGCCAGGCGGGGTGGCCGAAGGTGGGCCTTCCATTGGGATAGACACACATGATGAAGAGGGGGATGAAGACCACGCGGAGGCAGGAGTAGACGAGGAGGTGGGTCCCTCTCCAGTCATAGGGCAGGGCAGCCAGGATCTGCAACGAGGGGCAGAGACCATGGGGATGGTGAGGAGGCTGGGGAGGGCAACGTGGTGCCCAAAATGGGGCAGCAAGGTGACAAGATAGAGGAAAGACCAACTGCTGCAGAAGGCCATCTCAGCCATGCTGGTTAGACACCCATGGGGTGGAGATGACCCTTGGTGGAGCCAAGCGGCTTTGGAAGAGGACACAGAAAGGAGCCCATTGTGTTGGTGGTGGCCTCTCTCCTACCTTGCCGACGAAGTCGGAGAGGTTGAAGATGGCCATGATGAGGATGGGGAGCCACTCCCCCAGTGTGCAGTTGTGGATCTCTGACTCCAGCCCAGGAAAGAGGCACAGCGTGATGAAGTAGGTCATGGCGATGGAGAGCATGTAGGCCCAGATGAGCCGGGACACGACGTAGCGGTAGAGCAGCATGTCTGGCAGGGATGGGCAGCGCAGCTCAGCCAAAACCTTCAGCCCTCCCCTTGCAGAGCCTCAAAGTCTTGCCTGAACCCCAAGGGGTTGGTAGCTCTCTAATCTCATCCAAAAATGAGATTACCCCATGTTTTTCGCTATCAAACCCAGGATGACCCTTCCCCAAATCCCTGGGGATTGCTCATTCTCCCCTGCCAAATGCTGCCAAATCACCCTGTTGGCTTGAACCCCCTCCAAGCCCTCCACCCACCTCTGAAGCTGGGCCAGCTCCTCTTGATTTTGGGTCGAGGGACATCAAAGCGCATGTAGGTGCCGCTTCCAGCCAGCTCAGCTTCATGGCCTGGGCTGCCCCGGGGGGGGCTCAGCTGTCCCCGTTGCCTGTTCTCCTGGATGGGGGGAGAGGGGGCACCAGTGCTGAGCTCCAATGGGACCCCAGGGGCCAGCGGGGGAACCTGCCCTTGGCTTACGAAGTGGATGTCCTCCGCGGTGACATCGTGGTGGACGCGGTAGCCCGTCCCGTGGTCACCGGTTCCCCGCTCCTCAGGGAGACCCTTGCGCGAGCAGGAGGTGTAGTAGCGGACGAAGCGGGTGCGCTTGACCAGGAGGTGGAGGATGAAGCACGTCAGCTCCATGCCGATGGAGATGAAGAAGAAGATGACCGTGTTCTCCTTCTCGTCTGACAGCAGCAGCTTGGTGAAGATACGGCTTAGCGAGATGATGACCCCGGCGGTGCCTGGTGGCATGGGAGAGCTATGGGTTCAGGGACCCCCAGCAGCCCCCCAACACATGCATGTGATGCCTCCATGTGTGGAGGAGACACCAGTGGTGATATTGGGGTGATGAAGCCAGCTCTGGGCAGACAGCCCTACCCCCAGCTTGGCGTGGCAATAGAATTGAACTAGAAACCATCAAACACCCCAGTGTGCTGGGGAGCACCCTGATCTGTTGGCAACCAGGGCAGGCTGTGCTGGGGACAGCAGGTTTCACTCACTGGGGCGCAAGGAGAAGGCACAGGAGGGTCCCCCCGAGCAAGCCCAAGTACTTGGAGGTGGACATGGGCCGTGGACCAGGTACTTACTCTCGCCCGTCATCACCCCCTGTGTGTAGCGCTTGGGCAGCAGCCCCGTGTAGCCATAGAAGCTGGATTGCTGCACTTCAGGAGAGATGCACAGAGAGGAGAAGGAGGGATTATTGCAGCAGCAAAAACACCAGGGAGAGGGAAGAAACCCATGTGCTCTGCCACCCAGGAGCTGCCTCCTTCCCAAAGCAGACTTGCCCCAGAGCAGGGGGCTTTTTGCCCTCCCTTGGATGCTCCACCACGGCTGTTCCCGCCAAGAGTGGCCACCAGGAGCAGGGGCTTGGGAAGCCACCATGGTGGCTGAGATGACTTCAAAGCCATCGTGGTGGCTCAGATTGGTGTCAGGAGCCAGTGCACTGTTTGGTGCTGGTGCCCCTGGACGGGGATGGAGCAGGGATGTGAGGGTCAGCCCGTAGTGACAGAGATTATAGCATCTCAGGAGACCATGGCTGTTGAGGATGGGGCTGTTTTCCCACCCCTATCTGAAGGGCT